GAAGGGGAAAAAAGTGAAATGGAAATCATAGCAAAGATGCTACCTAAAAGGAAACACAGAGGGAAAAAAGTTTCTTCATGAAAGAGCATCAGTGAGCTATGGGGCAATTGCAAGTGCCTAATAGACATGTAACTGGAATTGCTGAAAAAGAAGAGAGAGAGGTTGGCATGAAAAAATATTTCAACAGATAATGGCCAAAAATTTTTCCAAGTTTAATGAAAACTATAAAACCGTAGATCCAAGAAGTTAAAAAAAAAAAAAAGCCTAAGAAACACAAATAAAACTTTAGCAACACACTTCATAATCAGATTTTTGAAGACCAAAAAGCACCTTAAAAAAAAGATACTATGAACAAAGGAATGAAAATGAGGATGACATCAGATTTTTTAAAATCAAAGATATACAAGAAAAAATATAGTGCAGGAAAAAAACCACAACCCTATCAATCTAGAATTCTATATCCAGTGACAATATTTTCCAAAAACAAAGTCAAAGTAATCACATTTTGGGACATACGAAAGCTGGAAAAACTCTTCGTCAGAGGACTCACAGTACAGGAAATGTTAAAGAAAGTCCTTTACTCCAAAGGAAAATACCATTCCGAAATAACTGTTAAATATATTATAGTTAATTTCTCATAAATAAAGCATCAGGTCAAAATGGCTTCAATTATGATTTCTATTAAACATTTAAGGAGTAAATAATACCAATTATACATGAACTTACCCAAAAAATTGAAGCAGAGGGAATAGTTTCCAAATTATTTTATTAGATTACTATTCCCTTGACATCAAAACCAAACAAAGACATTACAAGAATAGAAAACAACCAACCAATATTCATCATAAACAAAGTTGGAAATGTTTTAAACAAAAATTTTAGCAAATCACATCCAACAATATATAAAAAAAATAATATATCATGACTAAGTAGGGTTTATACCAGGAATTCAAAGTTGGTTTAACATTTAACATTCAATCCATGTAATTCACCATGGAAAAAGATAAAATATGTGATCATCCTTATGAATATAGAAAAAGCATTTGACAAAATGCAATATCCATTTCTCTTCCAAAAAAAAAAAACTCTCCTTAAAAAAAGATAGAAAGAATTTCCTCAATCTTATAAAAGGTGTTCTACAGATAGCTAAAATTAATACCACACATAATGGTAAAAGACTGAATTTTCCCCCAGAGATCCAGAATAAGACAAGGATGTCTGTTATCTTTATTTGTAGAAAACATGATTGTCTACGTAGACTAGCCAATAGAATTCACATGAAAAAGCTACTAGAACTAATAAATAAATTTAGCAAAGTTATAGACAAAATCAATTGCATTTCTATATACTAGCAATAACCCATTGGCAATTGAAATGGAAAGAAATAATACCTTTTACAATTAGGTCAAAAATATTAAATACTTAAGAATTAATCTGACAAAACTCTGAAAGATCTATGTACTGAAAACCATAAAACATCGTTGAGATAAATCAAAGAAGACCTAAACAAATAAAGAAATACAGTGTGTTCATGGGAGAAAGACTCAATATTGTTAAGATGTCAGTTCTCCCCAGATTAGTCTATAAATCCAGTGCAATCCCAATCAAATTCTCGGTAGGCTTTTTTTTTTTGGAGAAATTGATAAGCTGATTCTAATACTTTTATGGAAATGCAAGGACCTAAAAGAGCCAAAACAGTTTTCAAAAAGAAGAACAAATTTGGAGGCCTAATATAATGTTATTTCAAAGCTTATTATAAAGGAACTGTAATCAAACTAGTGCAATTTTGGCATAAAGTTAGAAAACCAGATGAATGAAGCAGAAGAGAGAGTCCAGAAACAGAACTGCACATTTATGTGTTGGTGAATGCCAGGGATTCAGCTTAGGTCTAATTGCTCACCACACAGAAAGCCAATCACTGAGACAGCAAGTACTGCCAGGAAGAAAGGCTTTATTGCTGGTGATGCCAGCCAGGATATGGGAGACAAGCCTAAAATCTGTCTCTGTAACCAAATAAAGTTAGGAGTTCAAGTAGGAGTTGCTCAGCAGGCAGCAGGTAGTTGAATCAGTGTTCTGGCACCTTGTTGTTAGGATGCAGTGATCTGGAAATCTTCAGCTTTCTGATACTATCTGGGAGGCCTGACAGTTGGTTTCCTGAGAAAGAAACTCAGATAAGACAAACGTAAGTTTTGCAAGTTTTAAAACCAGGATAGTCCATTTCAATGTTTATTAAAAACAACAACAACAACAACAAAAAAACTGTATACAGTTTTTCCTATCAGTTCTAAGGGAAAATTGGGTCAGTTTCATTTGCATGACCAACTTTTCACAAAGATGCAAAAGCAAGTCAGTGGAGAAAAGACAGTGATTTCTATCCTATCATTACAACAATGATGTTGGCACGAGTGGTAATCTATAAGCAAAAAGAAAAAACCACAGTCCTTACCTTGTACAATATATATAAACTAACTCAAAATGGATCATATACCTAAATGCAAAACCTAAAACTAAAACCTTTAGACAAAAACTCTTGTGACCTTGGGTTAGATATCTTAAATACTATGCTAAAAGCATGATTTATTAAAATCATAAATTGATACATCTGACTTCATCAAAATCTAAAACACCTGCTCTTCAAAAGACATTGTTAAGAGAGAAAAGTCACAGACTAGGAGAAAATATTTGCAAACCATATCTCTGATAAAGGGCTTGTGTCCAGAACATATAACACACTCTCAAAATTCAATAATAAGAAAACAAACCCAATTTTTAGATAGGCAAAATATTCTAACAGACACTCTACCAAAGAAGATACACAAGTTGCAAATAATTACATGAAAATATGCTCGACAGTATTTGTCATTATGGTACTGTTACCAGAAAGGGCAGAAGGGGGTCCTGATGCAGACCCTAAGAGAAGGTTCTTGGACCTTGCACAAGAAAGAATTTAGGGCGAGTCCATAGAGTAAACTGAAACCAAGTTTCTTAAGATAGCAAAGGAATAGGCCAGGCTCAGTGGCTCACGCCTGTAATCCCAGCACTTTGGGAGGCCAAAGCAGGCAGATCACTTGAGGTAAGGAGTTCGAGAACAGCCTGGTCAATATGGTGAAACCCCATCTCTACTAAAAATACAAAAATTAGCCAGGCGTGGTGGTGCACACCTGTATTCCCAGCTACTCGGAAGGCTGAGGCAGGAGAATCGTTTGAACCCAGGAAGCAGAGGTTGCAGTGAGCCAAGATCGTGTCGTTGCAGTCCAACCTGGGCGTCGCAGTGAGACTCTGTCTCAAAACAAACAAACAAACAAAACACAAAACAAAAAACAAAGAAAGCGAAGGAATAAAGGAATGGCTGCTCCATAGACAGAGCAGCAGCATGGGCTGCTAAGCTGCTTATACTTATTGTTACTTCTTGATTTTATGCTAAACAAGGGGTGACTTGTTCATGAGTTTTCCAGGAAAGAGGTGGGCAATTCCTGGAAGTGAGGCTTCCTCCCCTTTTCAGGCCATAGAGGGTAACTTCCTGATGCTGCCATGGCATTGGTAAACTGTCATGGCACTGGTGGGAGTGTCTTTTAGCATGCTAATGCATTATAATTAGCATATAATGAGCAGTGAGGACAACCAGAGGTCACTTTCATCACTGTCTTAGTTTTGGTGGGTTTGGGCCAGCTCCTTTACTGCATCCGGGTTTATCAGCAAGGTCTTTATGACCTGTAACTTGTGCCATCTTCCTATCTCATCCTGTGACTAAGAATGCCTCACCTCCTGGGAATGCAGCCCAGAAGGTCTCAGCTTTATTTTATCCAGCCCCTGCTCAAGATGGAGTCACTCTGGTTCCAATGCCTCTGACAGTAATGTGAGTTAAAACCACAATGGGATACCATTACATGTTTTGTGTGTGTGTGTGTGTGTTTATTTTTGTTTTTTTTTTTCAGACAGAATCTCACTCTGTCGCCCAGGCTGGAGTGCAGTGTTGCAATCTCAGCTTACTGCAGGCTCTGCCTCCTGGGTTCAGGCCATTCTCCTGCCTCAGCCTCCCGAGTAGCTGGGACTACAGGCGTTCACCACCACAGCCGGCTAATTTTTTGTATTTTTAGTAGAGATGGGGTTTCACCGTGTTAACCAGGAGGGTCTCGATCTCCTGACCTCGTGATCTACCCGCCTCGGCCTCCCAAAGTGCTGGGATTACAGGCGTGAGCCACCGTGCCCAGACCCATTACATGTTTTTAGAATGGTCAAAATTAACCAAGTTTTGACAAGAATGTGAAGGAATTGACACCCTCATACATGGCTGGTAAGAATGTAAAATAATGCAACCATTTTGTAAAACAGTTTGGTAGTTTCTTCAAAATTTAGGTATATACTTATTTTATGACCTTAGATACTTACCTAAGAGAAATAGAAACATATCCACAGAAAGACTTGTAGATAATTATTCACGAAAGCTTTGTTTTTAACAACCCAAAACAGAAAACAACCCTAATGTCTTTCAATGGTTGAATGGATAAACAAACTATGGTGTATACATACAATGGACTACTACTTGGCAATATAAAGAAATACATTATTGATACACAGGAAAACACGGCTGAATCTCAACATAATTATGCTAAGTGGGAGAAGCTGGAGAAAAAGAGTTCTTTTTTTCCCCCCTTTGGGACGGAGTCTCGCTCTGTCGCCCAGGCTGGAGTGCAGTCACGTGATCTCGGCCCACTGCAACCTCTGTCTCCCGGGTTCAAGCGATTCTCCCACCTCAGCCTCCCGAGTAGCTGGGATTACAGGTGCCCATCACCATGCCCGGCTAATTTTTGTATGTTTAGTAGAGACGGGGTTTCACCATGTTGGCCAGGCTGGTCTCAAATTCCTGACCTCAGGTAATCCACCCACCTCGGCCACCCAAAGTGCTGGGATTACAGGCATGAGCCACCATACTCAGCCAGAGAAAAAGAGTTCTTAATGCATGTTTTCAGTTATTTAAAATTCTAGGAGATGCAAACAAATTAAGACAATGATTTTTTATCTCTCATAATTCTGTGGGTTAGCTGGGCAGCTTCCCCTTCTCCTTTTGCCTGGCCTGCTTATGCATTGCATTCAGGGAAAGCAGTTGGGCTAGAAGACCAAAGACGGTCACACTGGCATCTCTGGAAGGTGGTACTGCACTGCTGTCTGGGGCGTCTTCTTTCTTCTTCATGTGGCTTCTCATCCTCCAATGGCAAGATCTGCTGCTTTCAGGGCCTTTAAAGGACAATGTTGCAAGTGGGTGAAGGCAGAATTTGCCAGGCCTCTTGAGTCTGGCCTCTGGAACTCACATATCTCTTCTGGCTCATTTTGTAAGCCAGAGTAATTCACAAGACCATCTTAAACTCTGGGGAGTGAAGAAATAGACTGCAACACCAGATAGGAAGGATGGCTTAGTCACATGGCAAAAGGTATGCATACTAAAAAGAGAGGGGTGCGCAGCCACTGTTAAATAAAATTTGGGGGAGGCCATTGTTTTGGACTGAATTCCTGCACTGGGCTCCAACAGGTCAACCCAAAATGGAGTCACTCATGTTAAGTGCCACGTAATCAAATTAAAACTTTCAAAAACAGGAAAATCCCAAAACAAGCCAGGTTGCCAAAAAAAGGCGGGGGGAGGGTCCAGTTGACCTGAGTCAGCATGATAAAGGAAGTTCCCTCTGCTTTAATCCACACAAGGAAAGCAACCTGAAGCAACCAAGATAACCGGAAATAACCAAGCAAGCGGATATTAACCAATCTGCTTTTTTGTACTATACTGTTTCCTTGTTCCTGCTCAAACCACCTTACAAAATCCTACTGTTCTGCCATTCCCAGTGCAGCTCTTGTCTATTTTATCAACTAAGTGCTGCCCAGTTTATCAATTGCTAATAAAAGCCATTAGGCTGGGTGTGGTGACTCATGCCTGAAATCCCAACACTTTGGGAGGCTGAGGCAGGTGAATCGCTTCTGCCTAGGAGTTCAAAACCAGCCTGGGCAATATGGTGAAACCTCATCTCTACAAAAAAATACAAAAATCAGATGGGCATGGTGGCACATGCCTGTAGTCCCAGCTACTCAGGAGGCTGAGGTAGGAGGATCACTTGGGCCTGGGGAGTCAAGGCTGCAGTGAGCTGAGATCTTGCCACTGCACTCCAGCCTGGGTGACACAGCAAGACCCTGTCTATAGATAGATAGATAGACAATTATTATTACTGATAATTAAATGAAATAACATATTTGAAATGCCTAATATATAAAAGACACTTATTGAACGGGTACCTACTATTAATGTGATTATGGTTACAACAGAGATCTCTCAAAAGAAAGTCTCTTGTTCAAGAATACTTGTCATGGTGACCTCTTTGGTGGATGCTGCAGGGTATGTGACAAGGAACTGAGTTTTGTTGTCCAACTTCTGAGAGAAAGACTTGCTTACTCTTTCCTTTTATAAGCCCACAAATGCAGCTGGGGTGAGGAATTAAACAAAATGAGATTGTATTTGATTTGCCTTAAAATTTGCGTTTACTTTATAAATGTGTATACTGGATAATGTCCAGTCAGCAGAACGGATACTACTCTAGGAATTTCAAGTAGAAGAAAGTTAACCTCGGAAATGGTCTGTAAATGTGTTGAAGGGCTGGAGGAGAACAAAAGGGGAAAGCCGAGATCATTCAGAGATTAGTAACCGCAGGAAGCTACTACCATCCTAAGGCTGGCTGAACGAAAGGAAAAATGGTGCGATCCAGACAGAGTCGGTGACTGCTCTGTGGCTGGGGCGGCTGTGATACTCGCTGCTCCACGGCCATTACTGGAAATCTTTCAGGAAGCCAAGGAACTAAACTCCCACCAAGGGCTGCCTGTCACGGATGCTGATGCTGCCAGAGCCCAGGAATGCCCTGCTGCAGAGGCTGCAAGAGCACCCCCTGCCCCCACTGCTGCTGAAACTCCACCTGAGCAGAAACTCAGTCACCTACCGCCGCCGCTACTGCTATTGCTGCAACTGCTGCTACTGCTGCCACTGCCAGAGACTTCAGCAGAAGGAGAAATAAAATCAGCTTCTTTCTCCCTTCTACCCTCCTTCCAAGCTCCCACCAGTGTTTCCCATTGGCAGAGGCTACTGGGAAGTAAGCTGGCTGGGTATTCTGGGAAATGTAGTTTGCAGGCTTCCAGCTCCTACAGAGAAGGGCAGGGAGAGTGGGGTGGCATTGAGATTCGTCAGGCAAATAGGCAGCACCACGTGAAACACAGACATTTCGCAGAGCGCTGCTGCGTGTGCGCATCTCTAGATGCTTTCCGTTTGGGTTTTGTTTAAGCAAAGCGAACGTAGGTTGAATGTTTCAAAATTCTTAATGGAATACTGTCACACCACAGTTAACCATCTGACAATCAAATCCCTCTTCCTTCTGGCCATTTACTCCTTTATTCCTCAGGTTTGGCATCGGATGTATACATTCTGGCAGGAAAAAAAAAAAAAAAAACTTTGCATTTCACACTCCACTTTGCAGAATACCAGTGGAATCTTTCTAGTCTCCTACCTCTTATCCACTTGAAAGTGCTTCATGAAATGCCTGATGGGCTGGATACACTGTATGGGGCATCTTATGCCAAGGGATACATAGATTCCTTGTATTCCCTTAAGTAATCTCAAAAGATACTCCTGGTTTTTTCTTCAATATTGTCTACAATTTTTTATTTTATCTATGATTACACACCTAGTCTGCTACATCTGTGATAATGAGAAAGGTTATTCTATTAAACTAGCAATGACTGTCCCTCATGAAATGAGGTCACTTCCTCTTTAGACCTGAGCACTGAGAACATTAGATTATTCTTAGATTTTCTCTTAGGTTTATTGAGCCTGATTGCTCCTTCGTGGGCTCAAATCATGCTGCTGTCTCCAAGAACAGCCCTGGGGAGGGGGCAAGTGGGAGGATGTGACAGCTCAGAACCACTCCAACAATTGAGGCGTGGTCAGAGATCAGCAGGAAACTTGGTTCCTACCCCAGAATTGGTTTCTCACATAAAATCAGGTGACAGAACAGCGAGGGTAGTCATAAAGATAGAAAGGGAAGGGAGGCTTGTTTTGCAAGGGACAATCCCACAGCCTTGCCACGGAGCCTCATGTCGGCTGAGTCACCCAGTGCCTTGTAGACCCCTCCCACGGCAGTGACAGATGCATGAGGCAGAGGCAGGGGTGGCCAGTGGTCCAGAACAGAGTTCAAGGGATGCAACTGCCTATGAGGCCATCACAGGGATGGGGGATGGCATATTTCAAAGAAGTTTAAAGACAGAGACCAACATTTATCAAATGCCTATGATGCGACAGGCATGCTCTATCATTTTTCATTTTAATCCTGACAGTAACCTTATGACATTATCTCCTTTTTAGAAACAGGAAAACAGATGATCTTGCATCTGGCAAGCCACTTAGCCTGGACGCAATGCCCTGTTTCCAACACCCACATGCCCCTAAGGCGAATCCCGGCACTAGCTCCTCCTAGGACAAGCAGGAGGGACAAGTAGTTCCTCCTAGGACAAGCAGGAGGGACAAGTAACCTTTACGGATCAGCTGTCATGCGCCAGGCATTGCGCTATGTGTCTGACACATGTTACCTACTTTAGACTTCCCCAGCACCCTGAATCATTGGTCCTGTGTTCCCATTGTACAGGGTAGGAACATAAAGTCCAATGTTATAAATGTGTACAGGCAGGGGATTTGAACCCAGGCTTACTTATTCCAAAGCCAGATCTTTCTGTGGCATCAACAGTTTCCTGATCTATTTTGGGAGTAGAGACGTAAGCATCAAAGGTCAGAAAGAGGGCTGGGCAGAGCAGGCCAAGAGCTGGGTGAGTTTGGACAGTGTGTGGAAACAGGAGAGCCCTGAGGCCTGGGGTGACTGTGCACTTGTCACAGCTGTCTTGCTCTTTGTGGTCTCTTCCCTGCCGGTGTCTCCCAGGGGTTAAGAAAGGCTTGAGCCGCTTTCATTTTTTCCCCAGAACAAGGTATAAGTGTGAATCTGAGGTCCCAGCCCAATGTTTGTGGGCCCACAGTGGGCCTTCTTACTGCCGCTCCTCCTGCCTGCACCCAAACCTGTGGGACCCCATGTAGCAAAAGCTTTCAGCACGAGCAAGGCCTCCCTTCTCAGGAGGTTGTCAATACAGAGATCAGGGCCAGAGTCTGCTCTGTAATTCGTATCCCCAAAGACCCTTTACATCACTTGCACCCAGGGAAGGATCTATAATTATCTTCTGACTAACTAAAAAACCACATTAACCTTTTAAAACAAAATCCCCAGGGTTTTAGGAAAAGTGTAACCACTGAGGTCAATTTCATGGGCTTACATTGGGATTTGTGAACAACATTTTAAGTGTCTACAAAGCATTAAGTAGTTAGTGACATCTAACAAAATATTAACAGTAGACTTTAAATATATGACCATTTTCTTTTTTATTTTATCATTATTATTATAATTTTTTGAGACGTAGTCTTGCTGTGTCCCCCAGGCTGGAGTATAGTGGTGCGATCTCAACTCACTGCAACCTCCCCCCCCCGGGTTCAAAACATTCTCCTGCCTCAGCCTCCCGAGTAGCTGGGACTACAGGCGCCGCCACCATGCCTGGCTAATTTTTTGTATTTTTAGTAGAGACGAGGTTTCACCATGTGGGCCAGGCTGGTCTCAAACTCCTGACCTCAAGTGATCCTCCCACGCCGGCCTCCCAAAGTGCTGGAATAACAAGCATGAGCCACTGCGCCCGACCAAAATATGACCATTTTCTAAAGTCTCTTTCTTTTAAAATGTGGTGTCATGAAACAGTATTTCCTGCCTACAACTTACAGTCATGTCCTCACTCCAGAACGCACCCTGCTTTCCTCTGAAGAAGAAAAAGGAGATAAAAAGGGAAATCATGTACTATTGGGAAATTGCTGGCTGAAAACTTCTCCTAACTCAATATTTCGTCCTCCTAGCCTAGTTCTGTGAAAAAGCTCAGTGGTCAGATCATTACACATGAACTCAGAAATGGGGGGAGAACTCAGAACTCAGAAATGGGGGGAGAGAGACACAGCAACACAGAGAAAATCTAAGATCATAAAATAAGCTATTCTAGCCAAGTGTTTCTTTCTAGGTGAATATTGCCTATAGAAAAATGTTTTTAAACACAATTTTTTGAAAAAACGCTACTGGGAAGCCGCTGACTTAAAGCCGCTGAATTTAATGCTGTTTTTAGTGTTTCACGTCCATTACATTTTCAACAGGTGACCAGGAAAGCAGTGCTGGTGCTGGTGTGATTTCTCGACTTTACAGCAGGTACATACAGGGCATGCAATGAGAGTCTGAAAACATGTGTCCCCAGCGATCATTTCTTAGGAGACTGTTGAGGCTGTTTGGTAACTCTCAGTGGCAGCCATAGGCATTTTCACAATGTTGCTTTCCTGCCTTCAATTGTAGTTCCTCTTTCAGCTGCAGAACAGCTAACACTCCTGCAGAAATGACCTTCTGCCATGTTCTGGAGTCTTCAGCTCCAAATGGGATTGGTCAGGGCCAGTATGTGACACCCTGCCTCGGGGCCGGAAAGCCTTTGTCAGTTACTTCTCAGTGGTGTCAGATTTCTATTAACTCAAGAACACACCCAGAAACCTGAAGAAACTTCTCTTGCAGAGTGATACTGACTCTCCTTCCTCCAGCTTGTGCACTGGCCCAGGCAGAAAGGAAGGAAGTCACAACTTAAAAATAAAATTCACACATAAGCTTTCGGCCAACATTTACATCTTAATAACCTGAAGTCCCATGGGGTCCCACGCTGAGCTTTGTCCATGACATTCACAGTGTTCACACACCTCAGACCATCTCCCCTGGGATCTTCGTGGGAAGACCGCCCCAGCAAAGCCAGCAGTGCTGCCCTTTGCTGAGAAAAGTTCCCACCGTGGCCGGGCTGGAGCCCCACGCACGTACTCTTATGCGCTGCTGCTGTGTCCATCTGCCTTGCAATAAATTCCCCAGGCTTTATCAAATGGCCTTGGTTTTAGAATTTGCCCTTCGGGACACTAGTGGTAAAGGAAATAGCTTGTCATTAGATTAAAAAAGTGGTCATCAAAGTCCCCGCTCTTCTGCACAATTAACAAAGCCAAGGCCTCCTCCCCTGGTGCCTGCCTCACCTGACAGAGCTGTGTCCGGCAAAGTCTGGACGCACCTGGGACCCAGAGCAGCCAGGGGGAGGCTTTCAGGCCCCCTCAGTGAGAGGAAAGTGCATTTGAACACCTGGAGACAGATGCATGTCTCCGGACTGCCCTTCAGTAAAACATTGCTTCCAACTCCTGATATGCATCTTTATTTTCATTTTTTAGATTATTTCTTGGTAATAACCAGGACATAACTCATGGCTGACTCCTTTTCTAATTCTCCAACTTGCCTCAGTGCCTCCCAAAGCCTAGTCCCCGACGGTAAGGCCCTGTGTCCCCTCAGTTAGGGTGAGGCCTATGGCAGTCGCCTGGGTCTATTAAGAAACCTTTATTTGTAGCCCTGCGCTTCATTAGATAAACTGGTTTTCTGCATGTAGACTGCAAGTAATCACTGCATACAAACAAAATGAACACTGCCGCCTAGCACTAGATAAGTAACGCTTCAAAAACTATTACTCTAGGCCTCTTCATAGACTCAGTCCCTTTTCAGCCACCTCCCCACCCCACCCCCTGGCTAAAGCGAATGTGTATTTATTTGCTGTCTGAAATTCTTTCTCTCCTGGTTTCACAATCCTCCCTGCCTCAGTGTCAGAAGTCATAGAGTTGCACAGACGAGCTTATCTTTAGGCAGCAGTTTCTAAAACAAATGTAAATCCTTTGCTTTTCTCCCCTCTGCCCACCCCTGACACTGTACTGCATCTTGTAAGCTTCCAAGCTTGCTTTTAGAACTTCGTCCTTGAGCACATGGGACATGGAAAAATACCGCCTGATAGGGTGGCTAATCTAGTGGGATGATTGGAGATCAGTGGATTAGGGAGATTGTGGCGTCAACTGAAGATCAAGGTCCACTGTGCTTCATGCCACTCCTTTAGAACACAAAGGCCAATATCATTCTTGCCACACCAGCTTAAAACCTGATACCTTGGAAGCCGGTTAGGCGAGGCAGCACTTGCTAAACCCAGGGCAAGCAAATAGTCCCACCTGCAAGCCTGCTTGGCAGCGGAGGGTTGAAAGTGGGGCACAGAGAAAGTCACCTCAACCATTCTGTACTCTTCTTGCCTTTAATCAGCTCCCATTTTAACCAAGTTTCATCCCTCCTCTTTTTAAAGCCTCCCGAAGGACCCATAATTGCCCTTGATAGAGCTCCTTCAAGTGTAATTTGAATGTAATTCACTTACACAGTCAATCTGATCAGCCCTTACTAATCCATCGCCTGTAACTCATTTTTCATTATTATTTCTTGAATGAGTGATTTAAAAAATTGCATATGCATCTCGTTCCCAAGTCTCTCTCTGAGCCTCTTTGTGATGGGGATGGAGTAAGCACCAGCCTGTATTTCCTTCCTAGTTCCCCTTCCTGAGGCGCTTCCCCCTTGGGGAGATTTCGGTGAATGCTGAAGATACTTTCTTGGGCAGAAAGGAAGGGGCTTCCCATCCTCTGTAGAAGAACCACATTGACAAGCCCCCCAGCACCCCACCTTCTTATTCCCAGTTGTGTGACCTCAGTTCCCCTGACCCCGTCTCTGTGGCTCTCCTCGCAGCCCTCTTGAGGACTTGTTTCTCCAGCCCGTGGCTGCTCTGCCAGGCACGGTCTGGGCCTAGACATCCGCAGTCACCAGGTTGGCTTCCGGGGAGCAGCGGCAGCAGGAGGAAGTCTGAAGCTCTGGTGAATGTCCTCCTTTTGGAGCAGGGCCTAAGGCCAACCTCAGTCCAGGAGGAAGAGACGAAGCAGGACAGGTGCAGTGAAGGGTGAGGACGGGGGACACAGAAGCGCCTTCCTGCCGAAGTGTACAGTGAGGGGGCGTGGGGACCACCCTTGGGGCTCTGCAGCGGCAGCTGGAGAAGAGGATGACCTCGAATTGCAGAGGATGCTCTGGAAGGCAGAAGCGGGAAAGAGACTCAGACAGAAACAGGCGGAGAGACAGTAGGGAAAAGCAGGGGGAAAGGGTGAGGGGAGAGAAAAGAATTACCTGCACAACACGGCCACTTGGATGGAGGATGAGGAATAGAGAGCCCAGAAGGCAAGAAATAGGTCTAAATTCTTGGCACACATTCATACACAGGAGGCCCGGATATCTGTGGGTGCTGGGGGGTGTGTGCACCAAAGGCCCACCTAGCCTATAGTTGCTATGTCGATGAGGCCTTTTCCCTCTCAATGTCCTGTGATAGCCAGAAGCGTTATAACTGCTTAAAGGAAGGTGGCTGGAAAAGTTGAGAAAGTACATATTCTCTAGAGTGCTCTGCTATATTTTTCTACATTTTTATTTCCTCCAAGAGTGACAATCCCTCAAAAGCCCAGGAGCCTGCTTTGAAGGGGAAATTCGGGGCCATGTGGCTTGAAGGCCAAGAGAGGAAGCTGCAGTATCTCTAGGTGCGAGCGTAGGGCTGGCCCAGCCTCCTGGAGAGGGGCTTCTCCAGGCCCAAGCCCAGGACCACGAGAACAGCAGCTGCGGGTGTGGGAGAGCAGCTGCTCTGGCCAATAGAACCACAACAACTGGGGTGTCTGAGCCAAACACAGCCCACCAGGGACACCCCATTGTTGGATCGGGCACCATATTTTCCTCCTCCCACCTGGAAAGTGATGCTGTAAGCTGCCATCTGACTTATTCTCCAGGCTCAGCTCAAGCCCACCTCCAGCAAGAGGCCTCCCCCACCCGCTCCCACCCTTATTTGAACCAACAGCCCTCGTAGCATCTACCGATTACAGTTTGCTATTCATCGGTTTTCCCAAGCAGATTGATATTTTGATGCCATGAGCAATAGGGTTTTCAGAATTAAATAGAAAACTTTAGCACGCTATGAAAACTTTAAGAAAAAATCGGACTACTGGCAGAAGTATCTTCCGTTAATGCAAGTAGGAGCTGGCTTTATAATTTTTAGTTGGACTTTTTTTTTTTAAATCTGGGGAAGTTGTAAGTGAAGATGAAGAATCTGCAAAGACATATCTCCCAGTATTTAAAAAGAAATGCTTGGGCAAACAGGCTACCTTCAGGTTGTATTTTTTATTTTAATGAAGCAGGTCAGTCTCAGAAAGAAATGTCATAAAGAAAATGTGGCACATATACACCATGGAATACTATGCAGCCATAAAAAAGAATGAGATCACATCTTTTGCAGCAACATGGATGCACCTGGAGGCCATTATTCTAAGCTAATTAATTCATAAACAGAAAATCAAATACTGCATATTTTCACTTATAAGTGGGAGCTAAACATTAGGTACACATGGTCAAAAAATGGGAACGGTAGACACTGGGGAATACAAGAGGCAGGAGAAGGAGAGGGGGTTAAGGGTTAAAAACACTATCTATTGGGTACTATGCTCACTACCTGGGTGACAGATTCATTTGTACTCCAAACCTCAGCATCATGAAATTATAGCTTTGTAATAAATTTGCCCATGTACCCCCTAATTCTAAAATAAAAGTTGGGGAAAAAAAAAAAAAAAAAGAATGCTCCATTCTCAAGGAGGAAACCAGAAGCCCAAGGAATAAAACTGCGAAGGATGTACTGTGGGAGGGAGATGTGATGCCAGCTGATATTTCAGTTAACATCGTTACTGTTTTTAGTAACGGTAACAAGGCTCTGATTATAAGTTCCATAGGTCTTGAATGGTCTGCCTCTACTTTTCCCATAAGCTAATTATTTTTCACCCTTCATTTTCCAGAAATGAGAGTTTTCGTGGGCGATGAGGCAGATGAACATATGAGATTGCAGTAGAAACTCCAGTATGTGGCGATTTCTGGCTCATTGACCTATGACACTTTTTTTTCGGATTCTTATCTCACTTAACTTTGCTATTTGTATTAGTTTCCAAATGCTACTATAGCAAATTTCCACAAGCTTAGTGGCTTAAAACAACCCAACTGTGTTATCCTACAGTCTGAAGGTCAGAAGTCCTTTAAAATCAGGGTGTAGACAGGGCTGTGTTCCCTCCCACCTTGGCCAGCTTCTAGAGATGCTCTCGCTCCTTGGCTCAAGGCCCCTCTCGTCTTCCAAAGACAGCCATGTCCGATCTTAACTCGCATAACTCCAACTGTCTTGACTCTTTTTTCCACTCATCAGGACCCTAGTGATACACTGGGCCCACCTGAATAATCTGGGCCCATCTTCCCACCTCAGAGCTTTAACTTAATCTCATCTGCAAAATCCCTTTTGTCGTGTAAGTTAACATTCACAGGTTCGGGCATCAGGGCGTGGACATTTTAGGGGTGTCATTATCCTGCCTGCCATGCTGTGGCTATTCACCTTTCTATGTGTTCATGCTTTGGCACCCCTAGCAGAGGGGAAGCTCCTTTAGGGAGCAGGGTTCTGCTTCTTTGTCATTCTGTTCCCCACAGCAATTGCCCAATTCAGATACTCAGAAGATATTTTTCAATCAGTTTTCCTTCCTGACTCCTGGTTTGAATAACACAGAAGTGTATTTACAGGTAGTAGCTGTGTTGAGCCAGTCATGGTATCTTACCTTCTTGCTCGTCAGTGGGATACAAAGATGATTCAATATTGCCCCAATTTTCTATAAATTTGCCAGGTCGGGCACAGGGGCCCTCACCTGTAATCCCAGCATTTTAAGAGGCCAAAGCAAGAGGATTACTTGAGCCCAGAAGCCCAAGATCACCCTGGGCAGCATAGTGAGACCTCGTCTCTAGAAAAACATTTAAAAGGTTAACTGGGCATGGCGGTGCCTGCCTGAAGTCCCAGCTACTTGGGAGGCTAAGGTGGGAGGATTTCTTGAGCCCAGAAGTTCAAGGCTGCAGTGAGCCATGATCACACCACTGCACTCCAGCCTGGGTGACACAGTGAGACCCTGTCTTAAAATAATAAATACATAAATTTGCCTTGCAAAATGTTCAAGATGGCTGGACAGCACCCACAGGGTAAGCTCTTTGACACAGGAACGACATATACAACTAAAGATAAAAATAATGTGATACTTGATTGAGCATAATTTTATGGAGCAAAGAGATGCCCGAATGAGCGGAGAAAGCAACCAGGGAGAGGAGAGTCAAGTGGGTTTATTCTCTCCAAATTTTGAATAAAGTCATGGGGAAATCAAAGTAGTAGGAAGGGGTCCAAATGAAGTGTGCAAAGATGTAAGAGTATAATCATGAGAACCCAAGATAGCAAGATACATGTATGTCTAAATACACCAGAACAGCAAAGGAGAGCTTACCTTATTTAAAGTGACACAAATAAAATGGAAAAATATAGCGATGCTACTGGAGGCTGAGGGTGGGAGGAGACACTGGTATAAGCAGCTTTCTTGGTCCTTTGCTTTTGTCGATCAATTTTCCAGGATTACCTAAAATGCAGCCAGATTTATCCCAGTAAGAAAAAACTTACCCCCTTTCTGGATGCCCAGAGCACTTTGTTTCCACAGTACAAAGTGCTGACCACATGTGGCTTCAAATTTTGCTGTGGAAATCCCTTTACACCCCCTGAAAGCAGATTCAGGTGTGCTAGATGGTGTTTTCCAAAGATGAAAATGTCACAGTATCCCCCACTCATGTGCTTCCAGAACTTGGCCACAACCCATCAAGACGTAGAGTCTAATTCTGTTTCCTTGAGTCAAGGCAGGTTTGAGACTCACTCACAACCCATAGAAGGCAGTACAATGGGTGCTACCTAGCTTCTAGGTCATCAAAGATGGCTGAGCTTCTGTCTTGCTGGGGCATTTGATCTTGGAGCCCTGGGCTTCCATGTGAAGTCCGAGTACCCGAGGCAGCCATGCCGTGAGGGAGGCCACAGCGCCTGGGAAGGACCCGGATGGACGCTGTAGTCAGCAGACATCATCCTCCAGTGCTCCAGGCCAGGGCCAGACATGTGAGGAAAGGAGCCTTTAGATGATAATACACCCCAACTGCTGCATTACCCCCAGCGGTCAAGGCCCCAGCTATCATGCAGCAGAGACAAGCCACTCCTGCTGTCTAAATTCCAAACCCGCCGGGCGCAGTGGCTCATGACTGTAATCCCAGCACTTTGGGAGGCTGAGGCGGGCGGATCACGAGGTCAGGAGTTCAAGACCAGCCTGACCAATATGGTGAAACCCCATCTCTACTAAAAATACAAAAAAACTAGGCATGGTGGCATGTGCCTGTAATCTCAGCTACTCGAGAGGCTGAGACAGGAGAATTGCTTGAATCCAGGAGGCAGAGGTGGCAGTGAGCGGAGATCGTGTCACTGCACTCCAGCCTGGGTGACAGAGTGAGACTCCATCTTAAAAAATAAATAAATAAATAAATAAATAAATAATAAATAAAATAAAATAAAATAAATTCCAAACCCACAGACTCTGAGAGCATAAATAAGGTGATCATTGTAAGCCACTAAATTAAGGGGTGACTTCTTATGCAGCAACAGTACCAGGGGAACCAGGTATGAGCAGTGCACATATGTTCACTGAAGTTATATTTGGGAAGTTTTCCTGGTTAAGAGCTCTAATTATAGCCATTATGTTAACAGAGAAACCAACACCTAGGAAAATTAGAGGGTAATCAGTGGCTTCTCCGGGGCTTCAGCTACAGTGATGGGTGAGAGGAACATGACAAGGATCAATTCTGAGAGTGCTGGCCGGGTGCAGGGGCTCAAACCTATAAGCCTTCATTTTTTCAGGTCGAGGTGGGTAGATCGCTTGAGTCCAGGAGTTCAAGACCAGCCTGGGCAACATGGCAAAATCCCATCTCTACAAAAAATACAAAAATTAACTGAGAGTGGTTGTGTTCACCTGTAGCCCCAGCTACTCAGGAGGCTGAGATGGGAGGATCACCTGAGCCTGGGGAGGCCAAGGCTGCAGTGAGCCATGATTGCACCACTACACTGCAGCCTGGGTGACAGAGTGAGACCCTGTATCAAAAAAAAAAAGAAACAAAGAAAAAAAAAATAGAGGTTATTTTACTTGAAGCAAGAAGAAAATATTTTCTGGAAGAGAATCACTTCTCTAAAAAAGAAAAGTAGCAGAATGTTTGTGCCTAGAGACAAGTGAGAATAGGCACCCCTCACCTATGCCGTGTCCTCCAGGATGAGCTGCCCACAGGCGAGGTGGGGGACCACCACCCAGCTGAGGCAGGAGTGGCCCCTGCAGGGGTAAACGGCGAAGAAGGCTTTCCAAGCAGCGCTGCAAAAAGGCCTTTCTATTGTTTTTTATGTAAGTCCGTTTCATGCCACATTTTGGGTGAAACATACACACACACAGTCTGCACAGCTGACAGTGAACAGGACTTCCTGGTGACTCTGGGTAAAGTCATTGTTGCTGCGAGAGAAGGGAAATGCATGTTTCCGGTGAGTTTTGCCTTATGTGGCTAAATGGGAGGAATCTGGCAAATTTCCCAGTGCAAGAAGTCTATGGGACAGTCTGAAAAAGGAAGGGAGGATCATCTCCACCAGTTACTGAAGTGAAAGTGAACTGTTCTTTTCTGGGGACCCTTCCTAACAGAGAAAGGGTTGAAATGAAAACCACAGCACAGCCAATTTTGTAATATTATCTGGCCAGTTTAGTAGCCTATAGGTATATTGTTTAAGGCATTTAGAAATCCAAGTGGTTGTTATTGGGACTATTATTTTCTTTGCTTAAGATATCTAACCAATTTTGCATAAACTAGGATGGGGAATATACAGGCCTTGGTGTTTCTTTTCCAATTAAAGAAATCTCAGTAAATAATTATGGAGCAGGTAACTCCCAAAATGTTCCCTTGGATAATGAAATTCCAAGAAAGAGCCTTTAAAAATTTGTAGTAGGCTGGGCACGATGGCTCACGCCTGTAATCCTAACACTTGGGAAGGCTGAGGTGGGTGGATCATTTGAGTCCAGGAGTTTGAGACCAGCCTGGACAACGTAGTGAAACCCTGTCTCTACAAAAGGTTTTAAAATTAGCCAACCTGTAGTCCCAGATACTCAGGAGGCTGAGGTGGGAGGATCATTTAAGCCAGGGAGGTCAAGGCCGCAGTGAGTCGTGATTGTGCCACTGCACACAAAAGGAGATCCTGTCTCAAAAGATAATAACAATAAGTAAATAATAAACATTTGTAGTAAATAGATGTCTGTTTCTGGGGCTTATTCTGCATTATAAATCTACTCAGCATCAAGGTCCCAGGATTAAATTTTAAACGTCAAGCTTCCTTCTTGTCCTGAAATGTGTCAACAGGTACTGAGTGTTGGCTCAAAGTAACTTGGTCTTACTTGAGGTAATGCTCTACCAGATACCCTCAATTATCTGGTCACTACACAGCCAAATCTCCTGCAGGCCTGGGCTGCCATTCTGGAGAAAGTGAATCACAAATCACCTTGAATTAAGGTAACGTGGCTTCTACTACACATAAGCCCCCAAACCTCAGTGGTAAAACACAACAGAAATTCACTTCCCACTCATGCAGGAATTGGCACAAGGCAAGAATGAGGGAAGTGCCACACAATCCTGTGCAGCCTATGCTGAGACGGGCTCTGCCATCCTACAGGCATGTCCCCAGCACTGCTGCCAACAGACAGGATCGGAGAGCAAAGGATGGACGGGAGGGTTTTGTGGGCCAGGTGTGGAAGTGTCATAGGTCACTTCCTCCTAGCTTCCCACAGCCAGAACTGTCACCTGGCCCAAATTATTAAGGAGATGCAGGTCTCTCTTGAAAACATCTCTCTCTGGCCGGGCGCGGGGGCTCACGCCTGTAATCCCAGCACTTTGGGAGGCCGATGTGGGCGGATCACGAGGTCAGGAGATCGAGACCATCCTGGTTAACACGGTGAAACCCCGTCTCCACTAAAAATACAAAAAATTAACCGGGCGTGGTGGCGGCGCCTGCAGTCCCAGCTCCTAGGGAGGCTGAGGCGGGAGAATGGCGGGAACCCGGGAGGCGGAGCTTGCAGTGAGCCGAGCTCGCGCCACTGCACTCCAGCCTGGGTGATAGAGCAAGACTCTGTCTCAAAAAAAAAAAATCTCTCTGGCTGAGCAGCTACTTCCCAGCAACAGAGAAGGGGAGCAGAGTTCCCTGATGAACATCCAACCTTTGGCTGCCATGTCACTTACACTGGATTCTGCCCAGCCCCAGCCTGTGGGATAGCGCCACAGATCATCAAACCGCGCCTAGTCCCAGCAGGTCCGTAAGACCATGCTTTGCTGTCTTGATCTGTATTACATTAGTTTGGAGCAGTGCTTTGGAACTGGGAGATGGTCCTTCCTGTGGGAATGCAGCAAAGATGGATGAGGCTAGGTCTGCCCCGCGCATCCTGTTTCCAGTGCTCCTTCACCAAGGAGGCCAACCAAACACGGGAGCTTCTTATGAAAGGGAAGCATGTTCCTCTGGTGCTCAGTGATAGATGACCACCTTAGAGTATGCAGCGCCCAGGGCAGGCTCAGGTGTCAAGAAGACTTGCTGTGGAGCTAGGCCCTGGCCAGGATTTCACTCAGTAATAAACTCTAGGTGTTCTTTTTCCTCTGTGAGTAGCTACCAATGATAGAATGGCGGGATTCAATGCTGAAGGTAAGCAGACCTGCTCAGAGATCTGTTTATCTACACAATGAGTTAGCTTGCCCTGTGGCCCCATCACTCTATGTAAATCTAGATTATTTTTAAGGAATGGCAAATATAAGCCATGATTTATTGTTATCTCATTATACTAGGCACTGTGCAAAATACAATACAGTTTTCATCTATCATAATAACAACAGCTCTGCAAGGTAGACATTATTGCTTTTATTTTTAAATGAGGTGCCTCAGCAAGGTTAGACAGCTCCTTCAAGGTCACTGATGAGCAGCCGAGCTGAGACTGGAGTCCAGGCCTATGTAATTCTAAGCTCTGCTCTCCTTCCTACCTGCCATATGATGCATACCCCACCACCAGGCTGCGGGATGCTTGCCACCAGCCTCCTAGAGTAAATGCTTAGCACACACACGGCAAACACCCACCTGCTCATCCCCCCCATAAGACTCACCGCAGTGAGCCTTCTCAGGACACTAACAGTAAGCATGGTACACTCACCTTGATAGAGTAACTCCCGTGCGCAAGAAGTTTGTAGAAAACATATTCATTGAACAGTGAGCGTCCATTGCACATGACTGTGCATATGAACAACATATCATCTGGCCACACCCACCCCTCTTCAGCCATGCCAAGGGTGGGCTGCAGAGTTACAACAGCTGTTTCGGATTCCTGTAAGTGTTCATGTCACCATCATGACAGGAAGTACAAGGTCCACTTCTCTTCACCTCTGCTTCTTCAGAGTTAACAAACCAGGGAAGTGTGCCTTGTCTTTCTCCAGATAGGTTAAAAAGGCCGCAGGAATTCAGAGAGTAACCAACTCGTCACCAATACAGCCTTTTTGCCAGGCCACCAGAACACTGGAAAAGATAGTTACTACTGCTAAGAGTCATACCATCGAGCAGAACCTTCCACAGTGAAACATTTTTATGCGTGTCTTTGAATTCTTTAAGCAAAGGCAGGGCAGTTTGACACTGGAAATCACAACAAAGAAAAGCACATTGCCCATTCCCTAACCGCCATTATTAAAATAATGACTTCATTTATTGGAGTGTTTCACATTGCTGGGCACTATAGTGGATGCTTTACACACATTGTCTTATTCAGTCCTCACATTGATCCTACAAAGACATTAATTTTATTATTTCCCTTTTGCAGAAGAAAACGAAAACAACTGAGTCAGATTAAGTAAGCACATAGCACACGACAGCAGAACCTAAGCCCTGGTTTGTTTGAATGCCTCTAAAGCCCATGTTTTTCCTTTGTACCGGATAGCTAGAGGCCCCAAAGCTGTGTGCAAAAAATACCAGCCCAAAGGAAACGCCAGCACGAAGTGGGGAGCCCGTCCAGTGCCACGTGGCACTGTTGCTGT